TGAGTCCACCTAGCAATTCATTATTCTATCATTGTGGCCATACTTTTCTGAGACAACAAAGTATTAATTCACTTCGATTTCAGTATCTTTGGAAAAATTACTGGGTTGTCTAACTAATAAGCACTAAATTGGGTGATTGTGTGTAATTGAGGGTTGTGATGATATTTTGCTGYATCTCTATTACTAAGTGGGATAGCATACAGATTCACTGACCAGATCCCTAACAGGGAACCRACATAATTTTTATTTGGACCCAAAGCCAACTTCAAGCTGATATACAAACCCAAGATCCATGTCCCAAGTCAAGTCCATTAGAAGTTATTAGTCCATTTTCCGAGGCACCATAAATCTACCATTAGTCAAGGTGATTTCTTGGGATCTTTCAACATTAATATTTGTTGGAAACAGAAAAGCTATGAGAACTTTTATATAGTTTTCCACAAGAACAGACATGGTTTGTAGAATGCAAGAAAATGAAATGACTACTTGAGAAATTTATGATAGGTGTGCTCTCTATTGGTTATTGTAAAATTTTTCTTCATTAGAAAGTTATCCTCTTGTAAAATTTACAGAGTACTTTGTGTTTGAGCAATGACTGAAATGAAAATTTGAATTGAAGCATGTCATATATATATATATATATACTATGGATGGGCTTGTGATGGAAATCACTATTTTTGATACCTTTAGCATAGTTGTCAAGGTGCTAAATTGATACTAGATGACAAAAGCTTGTCACCAAGGCAACTAGGCAATATGTTTTTATATAAACACTCTTAATTAATATTAGCTTGTTTCCTTTTTCTTTTCTTTTTTTTAATGAATTGACTTTTTCTCATTGGGGTACACAATAAGAGGTAGCCTGTCTCCCCGCCCCCCAATACAACCCCTTGATGAAGGCAGGATTTGATCCCAGGCCTCTACTACAACCACCAGGAGACTTTATTCGTGAGCCAGCTGGCACCTTCATGAATCAGTATGAGTTAGCTTGCTTTCACCAGTTGAAGTAGTTAGGGGAAAAGTGAAAACACTAAAAGTGATCTAAATGAAGAGATTTAAGCAATGAAAGCAATGTTACATAACCATGGGAAAAACTTGGAGGTGGAGTCATATTYTCTTTAGTGAGAGAGGGTGATCATGGGCTGGGCCGGGCTTGGTACCTATAATGAGGGGCATAGCCTGGGTCTGGGTTGGGATAGAAATGATAGCCCCCCAACAGAGAATGTATTTGTGTCTGTGATAAATGGGGCAAATCATTATTCATATCACAATAAGTTTGGGGCAACCTAATGCTTGTAAAGCTGTWGTTAATCTTGTCTTTACTTTCACTGAAGCATCTCTCAAATGTGAAATCTTTGAAAATACTGGGGTCTGCTACAAAATAATGTCTTAAGTAGTGGAGAAGCTCATCAGCAAATTAGAGATAATATTTGAACTTCATTACAACGAAAGTGCCCTTAAAGGTTTGGTTGACCTGGATGATATTGGAATTTCATGTTTATCAGTACTCAATCTGTTTTAGATCCTGAGAGTATAATCTGTAGGGCAGGAGTATAGGCATTTGGAAAGCTATCAGTGGCAAATTCCTCTCTTATTGGTATGTCCATCTTGGGAAGCAGTTARCTTCTTGGTGGATTGAAATTCTTGTGGATGTGCTGTTATTTTGAGACGTTTTTTCYTTTTGTTTCATGATCAGACTTTCATCATTCCGTAAAGCATGCCAGAGCAGATTTCTTGGTTCCTTTATCGGCTGAGGCCGTCTGTAGAAATGGAATACTTGTTTTATTATGGGGTTTCTAGCAGATAAGGGCAACTTTTTGCCCTGAATATCAATAAAAGATAATATTTTTATAAAATAGTCAAAATAAGATAACTTTTTTTTGAAAAATATTAAGAAAGGGCAATGACACTGTTCATCGTCTTCCTCTGCTAGAAACCCCATATATAACCCCTGTTAGCTCGAGGTTCAAAGAAGAAAAAAAGAAATTAAAATAATCAATTTGCTTCTCCTCATTCCTCCCTTCCCCGTCCGTCTCCCTCTAGCTGCCGAAACAGAGATCAACCTAGCCAATCGCCAAGGAAAGGAAGAACGGAAGCATGCCTCGTCTTGGAGCCACGGATCAAATCTTACTGGGAAGAACTGGATTATGCACGAGCAATGATGTCCGGCGAGTGAAATGAGCCACGGGTGATAGATTTCTTATGGCTCCAAGAAATCTTACGGGATCCGGCAAGTGAAATGAGCCACAGATTTCTTATGAGTTCCACTTCCACGCATCATAAGAAATTTTACTGGATCCATGACTCCTTTGATCCGTGGCTCCCAAAGGAACTAAGACTAACTGGATTATGCACGATGACAGGCTTTCAGAGCCTTAAAGGAAGAACTGGATTCGCACTTGGACGATGAACAGAGCCATGCCTCGTCTTCACTGAGGCTTCAAATCCAGTGTATTTGGATGAAATTCCAGCCGAAGCAGACTTTAATGGAGATGTAGAGTTCGAAGTGGCGTTTTTCAATGATCGAAACCGTGATTTGTGGCGCTGGTTTGGTCGTTTTAACTACAGCAAAGTGCACGCGAACAGAAACAAGTGACCGCGGGTGAGGTTGACGATGAGTTCCGGTGATTGAGAATGTGGTTTGAGATAGGAATGACTCGAGATTAATTAGGGCTTCTTGGCTCTAAAACCCAAGCTTGACTAAAGAAAAGAAACTCGAGAGGTTGAAGACGACAAACGGTATTCCTCCCTCACGGTGAATCGACTCTTTGAGGTAACTCGGTTCGAGCTATAAAACATTAAATGGTTCCCTCGTGGTGAGTCAATTCTCTGAGATAACTCGGTTGGAGCTATAAAGAGGAATACATGGGTTATATATAGGGTTTRTAGCATAGGAATATAGGAGGAATACAGGGTAGAGGAAGACGATGAACAGTGTCATTGTCCTTGATATTTTTTAAAAAAAAAAAGTTATGTTATTTTGGTTATTTTATAAAAATATTATCTTTTATTGATATTCAGGGCAAAAAGTTGCCCTTATTTGCTAGAAAGTAGAAACCTGAAACCCTTTATTATGTATGACTGACTACCTCGTTAAAAAACACGCAGGAGGATCAATTGATTTCATTCACGGTGGATTTTTACCCTTGGAGATTTTGGTACTCCGGTTTTCCAAGGGGCCATTTGATAATTGACTAAAACAGCTAAACTAAATGTTTGCAATTTGCACATAACAAGGGTGAAGATAAAACACAACTAGAGACAAATACAAATGAAAGTAATAAAGATATATTAACAAGGAGGGATCAATGACTTTAGGAACCAGAACCAACCATAGTTCAAGGTATCGATACTCATTGATAACTGACTTTTACATATCGAGAACTTCGAAATTTGAACCAACAAAATATTTTACATTTTTTTGTTTTGACCCTTTGACATTGGATTAGGTACTGAAAGTTGTTATGTATCATATGATATGCACTGATGCATAGCAAATGTTGAAACAAAATGTATTTTTGCATCAGAGAACTCACTGTGTTATATTGTTCCTGGGACAGGTCTCCAAGTAACTTTATCTAGGTTCCAAGACCAAGTGCAGATCTTCTTTGCTGTTCTCTTTTGGATGTCACTGTTCTTCTGGGCTAGCACATGGGAAGGGAGGAATAGTGGGAGACCTGGCAGGGGATCCAGATTTAGAAGATGACCTTGTGGGCATTTGCTTTGTAAATAATAATAGATACATGAGATTTCAATACAACACTGGAGTATAAATATGCATGACGAATTTTAGATGATGAGTAGGCGACATTCAGCCTCTGCAAAACCAATTTAGAGGACATCCTTTTGTATTTCATTGTTAGACTCAGAACCTAAATACTATATACTCCCATCTTTAACTTGGACAATGTGTTGATGATGGAACTTTGGTTGGCAAACTAGGAAGTTACATTGAAGGCCAAAATGAAGATTTTAACTGAAAACATTTATACGAGTGTGTGACTGTATGAGTGTGGTTTGAGCAACATATTTTCCAGAGGAATGGCTTGAGCAAGTCATTACAGCTGGGGTGGGGTGGGGTGGGGGGGATTTCATGCAATGCAATGAATAGAGCAAGTAGTTATTCCTTGCCCCGTGCCTCTTTGCAGCTCTCACACAGTCACACCCTGCCACCGGCGGATCCGTCTATATTAACAACCTTAAACAATCCGCTGATTGGGCATAAGAATACTTCTGCACAAGACCCATGTGGTAAAACGGGCTTAAAATTGGATTTCAACAAGGCAGGAGGAAGGACTTACAAGTCTACAGATTGACAGCCAAGGGGTTTCCGGCATGAATAACATGACTCCTATTCCCACCCGTTTGGTTTGTGGGAATAGGGGTCTAGAATCAGAATCGGAATTAGCTATTCCGATTCCAACTGTTTGGTTGAGTAGAATTGGAATCTCATTCTCATTCTTGGTAGAATGGCATTCCCCCATTTGAAGGAATGACCATTCTCTCCATTTTCCTCCTCTTCCCTTGGGTCCTGCTGATTTTAATTTTTATTCCTATTTCTGTCCCAACCAAACAGACTGGTAAATAGGCTATTCCATTATAGTTTTGAATGATTCCGGTTCCAATTTWGACTGCCAACCCAAGGGACTCTGATAGTTGACAGCCCACTCTGCTTAAACTCCTACTCTGCATACAGTTTATGCATGCTTTAAGACTTTGTTCATTCAATCTTGGTTCCACAAAATATTCAGTTATTGCCCTTGCCCAGTTTTGTATATAACGAACTATGCTTTGGGCCTTTGGCTTGTGAATGGTCCCTTTTGCCATCATGGAGGACCTTATTGGCTTATTCCCTTTGTCTTAATATGGTATATCTCAAGTGGGACCCAAGATCATTTTCAAAAACAAAAAAAAAAAGTGGGACCCAAGAATGATACAATCTGCGTTTGTGGGCCACTCATACGACCCACAATTGGACCATTTGTGTGGCCTATTCGGCTGGTGGCTTGTCATGTTTTTGGTGGGTTGTTGATAGCCTTGAATGTCCTTGCATCCTATGAGATATTAGTACAGGAGGTAGGGCTGTTCATAAGAAGGTCCAACCCGACCAAACCGACTAACCCGAACCGATTCAACCCGAGTTGACTGGGTTTTCATCAGCACAGGTTGGTTTCGGGTTGTGCAAATTCTTAAACCGATGATTAGGGTCGGTTTCGGCTTTTACACAAAAAAAATGAAACCGATCTGAATTGAACCAACTTAGTTCCTAGTTCAAACATGAAGTTCCAAAGCCCATTAGGCCACTTAGTTTTTGAATGGTTGCAAGAAACTTTGGATTAGTTAATAGTGATTAATGAACAACTTTTGTGATTAACTTTTCATTTAAAATTTATCATAGGAGATGGCTGAAATGATGTTCAATTTATGACTATTTTTAAAATTAGCAAGATTTTATCACAGGGATGAACTTAGAACCGAAACCGACCGAAACCGACCCAACCCGATTCAAACTGACTAAGTCGGTTTTGCTTAACATTGGGTCGATTTCAGTTTCTATGTCAGGTAACCCGACCAAGTCGGGTCAGTTGAAAAAACTACAGTAAACCGACCCAACCCTACCCGTGAACAACCCTAATAGGAGGTAAACAAAAAGCAGTTCCATCAACATGTCTTTGTGAGGTGATAATAACCCCTTTAGAACTGTCCTCGATGTTATATAAAGTGCCCACAATAAACCATTAACACAAATCACCACAGACTTAGACATAAATGAAGACGATGCTTATAAAAACAAGATAGAGACATGAACGACCCAGAAAATTTCTAGAGGTCAATCGGCCTATCCTTGGCTTTATATCAATCAAAGAAGTGTTTTGTCTATTACTCATACACAAACTTAATTACCTTTGCATTAGCATTTGTCATTTATCGTTTCAGAGTTCTGAACTATCTCATCGCTTGAGTACTACTCATGTCTCACATTAATTCAGAGATCCAACTGGGTTTGCAGCTCCATAGGGAATTTCATCCTCCGCTCCCTTTTTTCCCCGTTTTGTTATCTTCATATTTTTCTTTCACCCTCTATGTTATTTAGATCATTTTTTTGTCCCCTTGATCAACACCTAATTTACATTTAATTTTAGTCGGGAATGATTAAAATATCCTTAATTAAATGAAACTATTCTAGTTTTTGTGAAATAATTGAAAATATTTATGGCTATTTATGATCTAAATAAAGCAAATAAAGGATTATTCTTTTGCTATGAAACTGAAAAACAAAGAGAAATTATAAAGTGGGTAAATTATTCATCCACAGGTCAAAGTTTTCTAGTGAATCCAATTAGTAAGGCTCAGTTTGAAAAGAGTACAAATACAAATACAAATATGTACAGTACAATTATATACAAAATATAAGGTTTTGCACTCTCAAATTTGTATTTGTATTTGTACTCCTCCCAAACTGAGCCTAAAAAACCTTTTTTCTCAATTACAAATTCACTAGAGCATATTAGAGGGAGACAAGGTCCAATTATGATTCAACCTATCTAGTCAAAACAATCAAAATACTACAAGAATGAACATAGTCCAATTATGGAGAAGAAGGTGGGTTGAATTTGATTTCCGAGTACAGTTGGTGATTCTCTTCATATTCAAGAAAGGTTTTCGAGGCTGACATCAATTTCCACCCCAAGGAATCCCTCTGATGCGTTTTATTCCAGAGGTTCTGTAGATGGGGCCTTTCCTCCCAACTCACTACAAGCCAGCCACAAGCCTGGTATGGTCCTGGTGGTTGTTAACATTTGATGTTCAATTCTTTCATTCTCTAGTCAAATTCGTGAAGATTGAGATGGGGATGTGTTAATTGTTTCATCTTCAAGTTGGAATATTATTCAATGAAAGGTTCAAAGTATTGTATTGATGTATATATATACACACACGATACTTTGATATATATGCAAGTATGTATGTATCGATTTTCAAGGACATCAATATGTCAAATACTTTGAATTAGACAAATATATCTGCAAACTATTGTGCTAAAAAAAGAGTATCAAAGTTAAATGCCTGATATTTTCAACTATGATTGCCTTCACAGTTCAAGCTGTAATGATATGATGATTTTCTATTTTTTCTTCTTAGAGGAAATCAAAAGAAAGGAGGTAAATGGCTTACCTCTTTCCTTTCAATAGATGGGGCCTTCCTTGATGTAAGGTCGTGAGCTAAAGGAAATTTGGTATGTGGTTCATGGAATGGGAGAATGTCAAATATAAATCTCTTGAAATCTTTGATACACTGATCAGCTTCATATGTAGACTACAGAGATGGAGATGTGATGGTCACTTTGATTGTTTTTATTTGCAAGTTGGAGATTTCTTGATTGTAATTCAACTGTACTTCATCTCTTTCTTGTCCAACTACCAGAGAGAAGCTTTCACAAGTGGCATTGCATTTTTTGCTGATGTTGCCCTTATTTTTGTTTTTGCCTCGGGTGTTGGACAACATGGTTGGTCCTTTTATTTGTGAAAATAAGAACAAAATCAACCATGTTGTCCAACACCACCTAAAAACAATTCATTAAAATCTTTTCCTTTGATTTTTTGTTTTTCTCTTATTTAATTTCTATCAAACCAAACAGGATTAGGGTATAGCTTATTAGCTCCTTTGGTCCAAGAAATATGGGGAGGGGGAGGGTTGAAAAGTCAAAAACATGGGCAAAAGAGGTCAGGTGATGTGCTGCCCATTGGACCCAGAAATTGAAAGGCTGAACCAAGAAGTACATTCAACGGAGAAGTACGAATACACCCGATGCAGAATTCTGAACTCCAACCCCCCCCCCCCTACTATTAGCCTTCTCCCCCCTATAAACCACATCCTACTCGTGAATTTGGCATCAATTCACGGTCAGGATGCATTACCCCTGTACTTTGGGGTTATAAAATTCTGATCTGGGCTGATTGGTCATTCTCCCTACATTCAATGATTGAAGTCTATATATAGTCGAGCATTCCAAGTGACTATTGAGGTAATAAACCAATAAATAATGTAATATTATTAGCATAGCTAAATTTAATTTAGTAAATTAATTAGGGCTCATTTGGCGTGTTTTTTCGCATGGTCTTTTGGCTATTTACAAGTTAGGAATGATTTTTGGTTTATTTTCGTTTGGTTCGTGGAAAATCTAGCCACCAAAAGACAGAGCGCCAAAAAGACGCAAAAGTCAATTTTGGGCTGATTTTGGGAAGCTTCAAATGAAGCGTTTTACATCTTTCGTGTTTTATTCTCCAGCAGAAAGACATGGAAAGACGCACGAAAAGATGTGCATTTACCAAACTAGCTTCAAGCTGCTCAGATCTTCATGGAAAAGCTCAATACGTCTTTTAATTGTCAGAGCTACCATAAGATCTTCTCAAAAAGACTTGCCAAACAAGCTTTTAGTAAATGTCCCCACAAATAGAAAAAAAAACAAAGAAATTATCTAAAACCTCCCCTGAGGTTAATGATAATGCCCAAAACTTTCGCTAATTTTTTACATACATCAAGGATCTCCTGCAACAAAGTTTTATAAATCTTGTAACTGTGGAGTTACCTTCAGGTCTTATGACAGAAGTAGTGCACCTGACCAAGAAATAATTTCTAAAAAACAAAAATGTCTTGACCCACTTGACATTTTTTTCATGACCAAAAGACCATAGTCAATATTCAAAATATCACAGTGTATTAGTACATATTATACCATATGTATCAATTTTTAAACCCACCAAAATACTGAATATATGGACTTAAGGGGTTCTTTGTGTTTAGACATTAGAAGATCGGGAAAATCTATAATACCAGAAAGACATGATATCAGAAGAGCTTTGATCAATCAAAGCCCACCCATGAATTTTGATATATTCCATATGATTGA